TATATATATATTGTGCAAAAAAATAATCCTGTGTAAAAATTTATTATTGCACAAAAGCCACTAGGGGGTGCAGACTGATTCAGAAAAAAACTAACTCATCAGTTTTCTTGATTTTTTTTTCTTCAGCAGGTACTGTACTGCTTTGTTTTCTCTTTTCTGTCTTATTTTTTTGTTTGAGGTTAGAGGTTTATACAGAATGAATATTTACGTTATTCTGAGTATCTCACTGGTTTCTAATTTATATTCATTTTAATAAAAATAATTCTGAACAGCAAGTGGATTTCACAAATGAAACATCTTGTTTAAAAACGGTGTAAAACAGTTTTTAACAAATACTAAAATAGTACCATTTTACATTAAATTTATTTTTTTGCCAAAGATTTTCTGTATAAAAAAGGGATGTTATAACTGCATAGATGGTTCTAAATTCATCAAACAAAAAGTGTAAAAAAATAAAATAAAATAACATAAAAACAATGTTGAGCCAAAGGGGAAATGTGGCATTTTGGAGTAGGTGGGTGGTCCATGTATGTTAGGAACTTTGCTGTCTTCCCTGAGTAGAGGGTAAGACCCATGCTATATAAACTCCGGCTCTGAGTCTGCTCCCATTTCTCTGGGTTTGGAAGGGCTTCCTGGACTCAAGTATGAAGCTCCTTTTTGTGGCTGCTTTTGCGCTCTTTGTGCTTTCCACATTTGATTCTGCTGACTCCTCAGCTTATGACAAAATAGTTAGCCACAGTCGCATTCGGGCTAAAAAAGAAGGGTAAGCCAAACAATATCTCATTCAATCGTTTTAGAAAGTTGGTTTTGCTTGTCTTGACTTCTGCATCTCCTTTCATTAAGTGTACTTGTACTTTAAGTTTCTAAGAGCTGTCTTTATAATTTGTGCACATTTGCAGGTTTATTTCATTTAGAAAAAGTCTGTTATACTGCTAGTTTGACTTGCTTTAACAATTGTTCTCAAACATCTTTAAATAGTTTCAATGACTTTGAACAGATAAAATGAATGAGGCAACTCTCTTTTCTCAAAACTAAGTTTATGAATACATACATACATACAAATTCATTTGTACTTTATCAAATTTATTTTTACAG